TTTTTTTTTTTTTTTTTTTGGCAATAGTTTGAGTCGTGATCAAGCTTTCCGCTTAATCAATCACCATGGAAGAAGTAATAATATTAGAGGAATGCCAACTCTTTGGCTAGATATAACATATTAGTTGGAGATTATATATACACACTAACACAAAACAAACAAATATTGAACACTAAACTAAATTTTATAATCTTTCTGAATTTCTTTGTATCATCTGATAGCTGCTGCTTCTACGAGGAAGCGTCTTGGCTGCAATGAAATGATAAACATATGGGACAGACCATTAATTAGTATTTAATTAATTAAAACATGTAAAAAATGTAAAGTAATTTAGTGAAAAAAAAACATATAATTAATTACTTACTCTGTGATTTGTTTCCAGTAGTACTTGCTTGCTTCATCATCCAATAGATCTTCCAAAGCATCAAAAGTAGGTGAGGTAGATGAGTTTGAGAATTGATTGTTTGGCCTTACAATATTGCTTTTAGTAGTTTGATCTAATGTATTTACGCCGAAAGGCTCAGGGGAGGATGTCGGAACCAGTTCTGGTATCGAATAATTATCGCACAATGATGATGTCCCATACTCACTGGTGCCATTAATTTGTTGAGTAAATGTTCTTTTGGATTTTATTGACATTTCTTCTACTTCAGGACGGAAGATAGTTTGAGAAATGTTTAAGTTCGGAAAAGTTGATGTAGGAGCAGGAGGGTACGGAGAAATCCCGGTATTTAACAATGCTTCTAAATGTTGATGAGCAGGATATTGTTCAATATTGGTACTAGTACTAGTACTAGTACTAGTGTTTAAGAATTGCAGTATGTTACCTAAGTATAACATTTTGGCAAGTTCTGTAGCACTAGTTGAATATTGGCATGCTAGAACATTGTTAATGCACAAATTATTTGCAGCTACAAGAAGCTGATCAGGTGGAATATTTGCAAGGGAATTCATGAGGAGATTATCAATTCTAGGCATATGGGTGGTTGGATCTATCCCCCTTTGAAGTAGTTTCTTCTTCAAATGTGTATTCCAAAAGTTCTTGATTTCGTTATCAGTTCGTCCCGGTAGATGACTTGCTATGGCTGACCACCTGCACACATGTACCAACACCATATCATATCCATTTTCATTATGATTGTATCGTTTAAATCTTAGCTTCAACACTCCCGCTTACGTGTAGGGAATGTGCGATGAGACCTAAACTTAGTACCATTATGTGTTTTGATCGGGGGCGGAGCCAGAGCGGACTAAGCCCCTGTTTGTTCTATATTTTTTTCTCATTTGTATAAATATTATGACCGTTGCACAGTATAGTAGCCGACACTTTTGACCTCCTTTGTGTGATAATGGGGCCCAGCTGTTTGAAAAAAACAGTCAAAAAATTTCTAAAAACGGAAAAAAAATGTAGAACGGGGGCTAAAATTACTTTTTATACTGAGCTAGTGCATAAACCTATTTTTTTTTAAACCCGAAAAAACTAATGGGATTGGGGCAGGTGTGCCCTCCTTCCCTCTGCCACATACTCTGATAGAATTGTTTGATCTAAATGAAGTTGATTATATATAAGATGGAAAATATAGACATACTTGTTTCCTAGAAGTGCATGAAGTTCGAGGATTGTTTGTTCTTCTTCCTCGGAGAAGGCTCCTCTCTTGATATCGGGACGTAGATAATTAGTCCACCTTAACCTGCAACTCTTTCCGCACCGATTGAGTCCGGCAAGCTTCGAAACCTCTTTCCAATTTCCATGTCCATACTTTTGGATGCAATCCACGAGCTTCTGATCTTCTTCCGGTGCCCATGGCCCCTTCTTTAACCCATTCGTCTCGTCCCAGCTGCTTGTTGACGATCCTTCCATCTGCAGAAATTTGATCACTTGATATGTGAGAGAATTGAACTAATTAACAGAAGCTGGGAAGGTAATTTTCAAACCTGGATAGGGCTCTTTTTTTTTTTTTTTGAGAAGAAAAAGTTAGATTTTGTTTGTTATGTGAATGGGGTAGGGGTTTTATAGTGAGTACGCTGGTGTGTGCTGGAGAGACAGAGAATCCATTTCCTCAGAACTTAATCAACTTATACAATTAATTAGTCTTGAGTTGCAACGAACTACACATTAAACAAATTAAATTGTTGCGTGTGTCTTAAGTTTTTCAGACAACCGACCGTGTGTTTTTATATTAATCGCAATTCAATACAAGTCATCAGCATGGTTGCAATCCTGCATGACAAATTACTTAAACAATCACATCAGTGCTGTAGATTGCTTCTGATACACTGGAGATTTGATTCAGTACGTTATACGTAAATTTTTTCTTTGCAAAAGTTATCCAAAATAACAGTTTAAGATAAAGAATCGTGCTACTGTTACAGAAAAATTTCATCTGTAAAAACAATAGATAAGACACATGGGGTGGGCCCCATTTTTATAATAATTTTTTATTCACATGGTAGGCCCACCCCCCATGTAAGTATATGTAAAATTTACGGAACAAATAGTTATGTACAAGGAGTAAAATCCTAAGATAAATGTGCAACAAAATTAAGATTAAGTCCTCATTTGAAATTGAAAATCATTTACTTTTCCACTCATTTTCAACTACACATTCTAAAAAAAAAATCATACATAATATTTTCTTACTTTTTATCCGCACATTATTTAAAAAAAATCGCTTTCACACTAGTAATAACATAAATTAGTTGACAAACTAAGATATAGTTCACCTCCATCATAAACAAGAAGTACTTGTTGATAAGTTTAAGGCCCTGTTTGGGATAAATTTTAATCAAGATTTTAAT